AACAATACATAAGTCATTATTATTTACATAGTTTATGTTCATATAACTTATATCACGGAGTCACATCATCACATAAATCATATCATAGAAAGGAACATAACAATACATATTCACATACTAAAGGTTGCCAACTATACCTATTTTCTTGCATTCATAAAATCAGAACATGGAAATAGACTCATCGCAAGTCAAATTTTCATATAATCATATACTATAATCATATGCACTCACCTGAGCCTCACTAAGTTCCAATCCACTTTTATGATTTCCTTTCTTTCGATCGAATCTTGACTTGATAATCGTTCTAGAATTTGTTCGTGCTCGATATCTATATAATCATACATTGACACATATCAGTATCCAATTGATATATTCTAATCTATCATTTCTTAGACTAAAAGAAAAACTACAATACGTTTTCTAAATTGAAATGGGGAAATGAGTATTCAATAAAAGGAAGGAAAGAGTGACCTAATTGGCAGAAACTGGAAGGAAAATCAGAAGAAATGCAGTATCTTAAGGAGAATGGAAGCGAGGAAACCGAAGAAGATGAGGAGGAAAAGATCGTCCACCATTACGAAAAACTTTGTTGAACCATGATTTCTTCTCCGTTGCTTATTCATCTTTGATTTCGATTCATCTAATTCTTCCGGATTCGCCATTGAGCTGATGGAGGATCTTCGAATTTCATTGACACTAAATTTAGGGATTTGGGCTTTCTTTTGTGTGCGTTCTTACTGGTTTAATCTAAATTTTAAAGTCGGTTTTAATTCACGTGGACTGGTAGTTGTAATTTTAACTACGAGTATGTTTCATTTTGATCACTCAATTCTACGACGTTACAAACCGATCATCCAACTAATAAATTTGTTTTTTATTCATCTGTTGTTAACTTCGGTATAAAAAGATTACATATTATATCAATTCAGTCCTAATTTTAAAATATTTAGTTTGTAATCTTTACGCATTATATTAATTTTATTTTAATATTATAAAATTTAACCCACAATCTTTAATTTTATTTCATTATGATCAATGTCGTTAACTTTCATTTAGAAAATAGGTTTATACCAAAATAAGTATCTAAATTATACCTTTTTTTTCTAAATAGATGTCTAACCTTTTTTTTGATTCATCAAGGTGCCTAACGTCACAAACATTACCCATTTAGGTGTTCGGACCATCAACGACGTCAGTTTCTCTCGTTAAGTGACACATGTCACAACCTGGTGATTTTGAAATTTATTTTTTAAATCAAATATTAAAAATATTATGATATTTATAAAAAATAGGTTTAAATGTATCTTTGGCCCCTTAAGTTTCTAAAAAAACTAATGTGACCCCTATCGTTTTTTTTTTGATTAATGTGAACCTTCAACTCGAAAAAAGAACCCAATGTGACCCTTTAACCAACGTTTTCCGTCATTGACCAAATTCCATTAATTCCTGCTGTTATAAATTGGGTAAATTACACCATTCATGACTCAAGTATTTTCTTCTCTTCTATTTTGATCATTAAACTCTAAAAGTTTTCAATTTCAGAAATCCTAGAAACTCAGGGACTAAGTCTACAGTTAAACCATTTTACCTCCATTTCTCTAGCTTCTTCGCTCTCCTCCGCACCACGGCACATATGTTTTCCGATGTTTCCTTGGTGCTCCTGGACATGACAAAACTGCCGGAATCTTGTTTTCTTCCGATGTCGCTCGACGGAGAGGACACGCCCAAACGACGTCGTTTTACAACCGTTCGTCCTCCGCCTTACGCGATGCATGTACCCGCGCTCGCACCGTAGCCTACCCTCCCCGGCACCAATTCAAAGCGTTGGAGCTATGCATAAGCGTGTCACTCGACCGGGTCCCCTCGGGTCAACACAGCAACAACCCGCCCGTTTCCAACTCGTTCATGGCGGCTATAAAGCGGTCTCAGGCGAACCAGAGGAGACAACGCCGGAGAATTTCCACGTTTACCGCGACATCTCGAATCAAAACAATTACAATATCTCGTCCGTCAAAGTCGAGCTCCAACACTTGATCTTGTCGATCCTCGATGACCCGGTTATCAGTCGGGTTTCACTTCCTATCCCGAAGAAGGAAACAGTAAGCGAATAGGGGAATGTTTGGTTTTTGGGATCTGCAAAAACTTACCAGACATATTTGAAGTTCACATGTGTCGTGGTGAGGAGGGGAGGTAAGCTAGAGAAATGGGGTAAAATGGTTTAACGACAGACTTAGTCCCTGAGTCTTTAGAATTTCTGAAATTAAAATTTTTTAGAGTTTAGTGACCAAAATAGAAGAGAATAAAATAGTTGAGTGATGAATGGTATAATTTACCCAATTTATAACAGCAGGAATTAACAGAATTTTGTTCAATGACGGAAACATTAGTCAAAGGGCCACATTGGGTTCCTTTTTTGATAGGGACCACATTGTTTTTTTTTTAAACTTAATGGGCCAAAGATACATCTAAGCCTAAAAAACACTAAATTTTCTTATATTATGAAACAACCCTAAAATCTTAAATCCTAACCTTAATCTACTGTCGTCCCCCTTTATGGCCACGACCACCGGCATCGACACTGTCATAATCCCTACCATCCTCCTACTCATACGTCGTCGTAGTTTTCGTTGATTGGCTGTCGAAATAGCGTGTGATCGCGGTTTTTATAATAGGGTTCGTGGGGTATAAAAAGTTGATTCGTTGTCGATCAGTCACGATTTCATGGGGGTTTTGGTCACTAGATGGAGGGGAGGTCGGGTGGAGTTTCGTTGATGGCAAAAGGTGGCAGTCGGTGTGTGTTTAGGGTTTGAAATAAAGGTAAGTTTTGGGTTTATTTCAGGTAAGTTTTGGGTTTATTTCAAATTGTGTGTTTTTTATATATATATATATTATATATATAATATAATTATATATATATATATATATATATAATATATATATATATATATATATATAATATATATATATATATATATTATTTTAAAATAAAAATTTTAAAATTACCAAGCTGTGACAAGTGTTACTTAACGGAGGAATTAACACCGTTGACAGTCCAAACAACTAAATGGGTAACTTTTGTAATATTAGGCACCGGGATTAATCAAAAAATAATTTAAGCACATATTTAAGAAAAGAATTATAGTTTGAGCACTTATTTTAGTATTAAGCCTAAAAATATTGACATATCACGTTAAAACTTTTTCCCCAAAAAAATCCATAACGTTCTAAATTGACAGTGAACGTAAAAGCACAATTTTTTATGAATAAAGGGGTTATCGGCCAATTCTGAAAGTTTCGTCTAATCAAAAGATTAACATATTTTGGTTTTAAGAGGATCTTATAGTTAGCAATGACAAAATTTTAATTTTAATATTTAGTTTCTATTAGCTCGTCGTCTTATTCCATCGTCACTTCAGTCATTGCTAGATGGTTTTTCTCATGGAAAATATCACATAATTTCTCTTTTCTTTTCTTTTTTCTTTGATTAAAACCAATTAGATAACCTTCTGATCTCCTCAAATCGTAATCAAAATTAAATTGTTAAAACTTTTTGATTCATTACTATTAATTATCAGATCAACCTGAAATCAAACTATATTAATTTTCTGACCAAATATATCCTTTCAACTATTGGGATTGAGAATCCATCTAATGGTCTCATTAGTCAAAATGAGTGTTGTTCTCTCTAGAGGTTTGATGTTCTAGCAGCTACGTGTACAATATGTATGTACGTTGTCAATGATTAAGAAATAAAACTCATTTTTAAGAAGACTTTAACGTGTCACACCAACATTTCTTAATTGCTGAATAGTGATCTTCTATTTGCCTCTCCCTCTACATTTTCTCTACAGCCAAACAAACAAACACCATTCATACCAGAAATCAACTACATCCACCCGTTGCTATTCTCTCTCTATTTTCTCCAATTCCATCTTTTCTTTCCTTTTTTTTTTCCGTCAACACAAATTTTTTTCACCAAATCTTCTCTTCCTCAGCGTCTCCATTTCGCATTCTTCTAGTGTTTGGAAGTTCCTTTTTCGTCATTCAATGAGTCACGTCGATACCAACCCTTTTGCCGAGGAAGAGGTCAATCCTTTCGCCGTAAGTTCATTTCCTCCTCCTATCAGACTTTCCATCCTTTTTTCTTCAGATTTGATCGTCAGGTTTTGTCTGATTTAGGTGACTCATTGATTAAGTATCTTGATCTGTTTCATTTCAGCTGCCAGTTGGAATTATTTACGTTAGAATTAATCTATTTCGAGATAGGATTTGTTGTTTTCAATAATGTAGCTCTTCTTCTCCTTCATTGAACATAGAAGGAACGACTTGGAAGAAACTTATAATGTCATTTCTGAAAGGTTTTGTTTGATTTTGGTGACTCATTTGACTAATATCTTGATCGGTTTCATTTCAGGTGGCAGTTGGAATTATTTACGTTAGAATTAATCGATTTCGAGATAGAATTTCTTGTTTTCAATAATGTAGCTCTTCTTCTCCTTCATTGAGCATAGAAGCAACGATTTGGAAGAAACTAATAATGTCATTTTTGAAAGATTTACTTTTCAAACGTAGACAATATGATGTGGTGTGGCAATGGCATGTTGACTTTGTCTTAGAAGGACAAGATAAATTAATTTGTTTCTGTTACATAAAGATGATATTCATGGTATATGACATTTATTTGGTGACTGTTGTTTGCTTGTTTCTCGTTATGTTACACCTAATGGAAATTCTGTCACTGTATATCGTTAAAAATTACAACTAGTGATTTAATAAATACAAGATGAAGATTTATGTTCCTTATTATCAATTTTGCTTATAAACGACATGTCTGTTCCCATTTTATTTATTTCAGGATCCATCAGTTAAGAAAGGATCAGGCAGTGGCGGCAGCAGAGGTTCCTTATTTTCTACAGTGAGTTTTTCCCTTATTGTTGTCTTGTTTCCTATACCTGTATAATGTTTCTTACTGGATTTTCAATTGTCGAGAACATCAAACAATGGTGGCATATAGAGAGTGGTTAACGTTGGACTTTTGTGTATGTGTTTGTTGCAACGACTAGCTAATGTCAATCATTGATTTTTTCTCATGATGGTCATGCTTTGACTTTGGCTCTAATGATTGGTAGTGGCACTGGAATTTAAGCAGTTAGAGTGCTATCAAACTGATGACTGATTGTCATTATGCTGAAGGTTCCAGAAAAGTTTTATGCTAACGAACGTGAACATGGAAATGCCTTACTTTTTAATGGTCTCTATAGTGTACCAGAATCCTTTTCATGGATGAATTCATAGCACTTCCAAGCAACTGCTTTTTATCTTGCTGGATTTCAATAAATTCCTTTCTTTCCCACTTCTCGGTATCTCACTTATGATGTAAAATAAGATAGATCCAAGAAAGGTGCCACGTAAAAGGAAAAATTACCCAGACCGAGAAAGAATGCACACTAACCTCTAGGGGAGCAATTATGGATGGATAAGCTTGCTTTCTCCCTAAGACAGGAGACATGGCTTGAAAGTCATGTATATCCTGATTGTAGGTTCAGTTTTCTGCATTGTTTTCATTTTATCCCCAATTCTTATCGGGACGCATTTTCTCATTAGCTTACCCTCGATTGCTTTGTGGAACTTTTATGGATGGAATGCTTGTAAACAATGTAACTGTTTCTGATGTGAATGGTTTATTTTCCTGTTTTGCATTTTGTGTCATGTTTATGTGTTGTGCTTGCGTATGCATGCTTATTAATCCTCTGTAAGGGCTTACGATATTGATTGTGTTTCTTTAATTATAATACCAAATATTAGTCAAGGCCTTCACCCCTTCCTCCTGAATCATATGAGAGTGGTGCAACGATAGATATTCCTCTTGATACTCATTCTACCAAGGTATCCTAAAACTTTCCAGATATTTGATGGGTTAATATCATGTTTCTAAAGCCTTCTTTTGATATTTTCCGTCTTATAAACTTTAGGATGTCAAAGCAAAGGAGAAAGAGCTTAAAGAAAAAGAGGCTGAACTGAAAAGGCGAGAGCAGGTAATTTCTGTTGTCTGCTTGAAATTGAGCAAGGCTAGCTGATGAAATCTAAATCTGGTGCTTCCGAATAATTATTTGTGGCATTTGGTATCAACATTAATATGTTACTCCTTTCATAATGCAGCTACGGTTATACGCATTTGTGAAGTACTTACTTTTTTTTTAAGGAATTTGTGAAGTACTTACAAATAATGCTAACTTGGCTCAAAAAGCCATAGTTTTTGTGTTTTTGAATCTCAATTTCTGAATCATATTTTAGTTTAATTCCAATCTTTCTGTCTGAATGCCTGTATAATATCTTATGTTCTTGACTTATCAGTTGTTTCCCTTTTCATTGTGAAAATACTAAATTATGCAAAGACTTGATCCTAAATGTAAATTTGAATTTCATATGAAAGTAGTGTTGTTTGAGGGTGGTTTTGCAACTCTTGTTGTTTTCAGAATAATTTGTTTTCATACTAAATGAGTGTTATCTTTGTATCATGCAGGAGTTGAAAAGGAGGGAGGAAGCAATAGAACGAGGTTGGTTTTTTTTTAACGCTTGACGATTTTGTGCATTACCAATTTTAGTCACATATATGCTTTGCCTTTGTCTTGGCAGCTGGAATAGTGATAGAGGTGAAAAATTGGCCAGCATTTTGTCCCATTATCCATAATGACATCGCAAATGAAATACCAACCCACCTACAACCAACCATATATGTTGCTTTCGCAACTTTGATAGGTGAGTTAAAGTTCAGGGTTTTTCTTTTAAAAGAAATTAGAGGTTTCAATCAATATTACTATTAGTTGTTAGAATCAGTAGGTTAAATTGTTTATTAGAATTTAGAGAAAAAAAACGGAGCCTAAAATAAAAATTCTTGACCAACAATATTACCGTTTTTGTTTAATAAGATGCTAAAGTGAATGATTGACTAATTCTATTTTAGAAATTATCACTGGAAATATTTTGATATTACGGGTTCTTATTTCTCAACGACGTCTCATGATCAAGACAATTAGCATGAAATGTTCATTTCTTGAAAAAAAATGTTTGAATTGCCGATTTGTAATACGGACATGACAGGCTTGGTTATCTGCCTTCTGTACAATATAGCAGCTGCTACTGTAGCGTGGATCAAGGGATATGGTGAGTTTTGAAAATTACTAAGCATAGCCCTTAATCATTAGTATTTAATTGCCATTTTGGCATCTTTTATCAGTTTAAAATTTTATTATATTTTGTCCTAGGTTTAATAATTTGGCTTCTTTCCGTCATATATACCTTAACCGGCATCCCTGGAGGCTTTTACTTGTGGTATAGTCCTCTTTATAAGGCTGCAAGGTACTACTTTTAGATTGTTACTCATTTTGGTTTTTTGCTTACTACAGTTGTATGTATCCAATTATCAATAGTTATTAAAATTGTTCTTTCTTTGACTCCTAGTGTTGTGAGCAAATTGGAGATTTGGATCCATTTCTCACAATACTAAGATATCTGTTCTACCTCTTCCGCAAGGCCTTTAGAGTTTCATATTGTCCGGACAACTATAATCCCTTAATTTGACACCTATCAATCTTATCATCAGCTAAATCTATTAACACACCATACCGACGTACAAATATCAATCATCACAATCATCATGTAAAATTGAAAAAGGGGACTCTCTCTCTCTCTCTCTCTCTCCCTGCCTCTTTCACGGTTCATCATCTTATTCGGATCATATACTCTCTACCTCCTTCAAAAAACCACTATTTGTAATTCTCCATCCAAACCAAAAATAATAAACCGCTAAACATCACCGCAACTCCATTTCTCCAATCAACAATACCCTATGAGAATTCTTGTAACTGCAAGTTGAAAGATAACTATGAGAATAATTTATAAATGCCGCCTGTAATCATTCACTTAGATGTAATGTCCGTATTCCTTTTACAGGACTGACAGTGCGTTGTGGTTTGGATCGTTTTTCCTGGGTTACTCTGTAAGCTCATTGCTTTCTCATTTTAATTGTTGAATATTCATCCAATATATGTTGCAAAACTCCTCATTTAAGACTCTCCTCCTCCTCTTTGCAGCTCCATATGCTATTTTGCGTTCTTGCTGCAATTGCTCCTGAATTCTTTTTCAGGGAAGGGTCCATAACGTGAGTTTTGCTTTTGTTTCTTCTTCTCTTGATTCCATTAACACTCATGTTAGGAAACATCTTTAATCTTGTTATTCCGTTCCTCTAGGATACTCTATAGCTGAGGTCTTAATGGTGAAATTCTTTGTGCAGAGGTATTTTGGCTGCATTGGATCTTTTTACACACAATCATGCATTGGGGGTAAGTTCATGGGTTCTTTAGCTAAATAATGCATGCCATGGTCGAGTTTCAATAACGTTATTGCCTTTGGGTATTTGAGAATGCTTCGACACTAGCCAGGCTTGGTTTCAACTTGCAGATAATATACTTCGTGGGTTTTGGATTATTTCTCTGTGAATCACTTGTGAGCATCTGGGTTTTTCAGGTCCCCTGATCCCTCTTTTTATGATACCTTTCACTTTTATTACCAGCTTTTCATTTCAATTAGTACCCGTCTCAAATATAGATACAAATATAATTTGGGTAAATTACCCTATGGTCACTAAAATATCAGTATTATTTTATTTTGACTACTTGACTTTCAATTTAATTTCAATCAAGCCGTAGTTAAACAAATTTATATAATAACATATTTGGTTCTCATTATTTACGTATTTGATTAATAAATTATGAACAAATAAGTAATAATGACCTTATACGTTGTTATAAAAATTTACTTAACCACTATGTCAACAATTCTGTAAACAATTAATGGCCGGTTACTTGATTGAAATCAAGTTGAAAGTTTAGTGACCTATTTTTATTTATTTTTTGAATTTGGTTTCATCTAAGCCCTCATTGATCTTCTGGTTTGAATTTGCAGCAAGTATTCATGTATTTCCGAGGCAGTGGTAAAGCTGCAGAGATGAAGCGTGAGGCTGCAAGACGAACCATGATGTCAGCTCTATGAGACGACGGAGAGGTGTATTGAAATATGGTCAGTGCAATTATTTTATTTTTATTTCCACTTACCCCATAGGTGGCTTAGCTAACCATAGTGTCATTTTGCGCAAACTCAAAATGATTTTTGTAAGGGCATCCTAATAATTTTGATTTTTAACATAGCCCTAATAATTTTGATTTCTTTTAACATAGTCCTAATAATTTTGATTTGGGTTATACATTTGTTGTATTTGCATATCACTGGGTACAGTGTATTCATTATCAATTTATACAACTTAGAGCAAAATATTAAATTATATGACTTATCCATGCTGTTTAGTTTGTAAGCTGATAATTTTTAATGTCGCGTATTTGATTTTAGGGTAAAGCACATATTTAGTACCTAAACTATCACTTATGTTCCATTTTAGTATCTAAACTTTCATTCTTCTTAAAATCATACCTATTGTTTACTTCTTGTTTCGTTTTAGTACCTTGTGTTAAAATTTAGGTACTAAAATGGAACAAAAAGTTAACAGCGGGTACTAAAATGAAATAAAAAGTTAATGTCGGCTACTAAAATGAAACAAAAAAAAATAGGTATGGTTTTGAAAAAACTGAAAGTTTAGGTATTAAAACAAAATAAAAGTGATAGATTAGGTACTAAAAAATAATTTTCCCATTGATTTTATTTTATTTGACGTGTCACTGATACATTTTATTTAGATGTAATTGATATTAAATTCATTAGCCCATAAATACTTTTCTAAATTCAGCCAAACCATTTCAAAATTATAACAGAAGAAACATGATGCTAGAAGCACAATGGCAACTTTTTATCATCAAGACATGCTTAAATTGCATATAAAGCATGAACTAAATGATTTTATTCATTAAAAAAATAGTTGTTAATTTTAGAGGTTTTAAATATTTACACGTTGATTATTAAATGATTAAAATATTATTTTATAAATAAATATGAACAATACATTTCCCTCCCTCTCCAACAGAAGCATATAAATAATCAATTCAATATTTTTTGATATATCAAAATTTTTAGGGTGTTACAATTTTTACGAGTTTACACATATAAATTATCTTTAAAACTTGTTTTATTATTTTATTCATCCAATATTAACATGATATAAAAATAATTAAAAATAAAAAAACATGTGAAAATTAATTTGTAAAACATTATAGAATTGATTAAATGTTTCAAGAAAGTAAAATGCAAATTATTCAATATGTTTTACTATAAACAAAAGAAATAACATGAATGACAAAATAAAATTAATAATACAAATTTAATTCTCAAACGATTACAAAAGAGAATTTGAATAAATATATTAGTAATATAAATTTAAAACAAAACAGTTTAATAAACTTCTAAATTTTATCTATGATGAAATCAATTTATTACTAATAAATCATGGGTTAACTACACGGTTGATCATTTATCTTTGAGTATTATTCACTTTTGGTCAGTGATTTCAAAATACATAAGATATGACTACTTACGTTTTTATTTAAACAAGATTTGGTCACCCCGAGCTAACTTCCATTAACAACAGTTAAATATTTTGATATATTTACACATTTGATTCCTATTTTTTTTTTTTACATATTCTCTCAATTTAGTCATACTTTTAATAAATTAAAGTAAACTATATATTTTTAAATGAAAATGAAAATAAAATATTTTTAAATTAAGTTAATAGTACAATATATTTAATAAGTTAATATAAAAATATTTTAAGTTACTATATAGAAAATTATATTATATATAATTTGGGTCACAGGTACCCGATTCATAATTTTTTTTATTTTTTCTTTAAATTATATTATTTTTTAAAAATAAGTTATGTAAAAAAAATTCTAAAATTTAAAAGTCTATAATATATATAATCCACATATAAATTTAAAAAAAATCAAATTAAATAATTGAAATAAAATTTATTAAAATTTAAAATAATTAAATAAAACTAAATTTTAAATGTTTTGAAGTTAAAATAAATATTTTTAAAAAATAATTTAGAACGTTAATGTGAAACAATTTAAGAAATTAAGAATTTAGAACGTTTTGGTGTCAAAATTTAAGAAATTAGATTTTATAATATTAGAGTGAAATAATTTGAGGATTATGAATAAAAAGTTTAATATAAAATAAAAATAAAAATAAAAAAATTATAATAAATCGGGTATCGGGTCGAAGGGTAACCGATTAACCAACATTTTGTGACCTATGTTCGACCCAGAAATTTGGTCGGGTACCCGACCCGAAAAATCATGTATTTTTATTATAAATACAATATATTTTTTAATTGGGTCAGCGAGTCGACAGGTTAGCTCAATCTGGTCAAATTTTTGAACAATCTTAGTGGCATGACATGTGTTATCACTCGATTGAAGGATTAAATTTATTTTAATTTATTAAAAAGTATCACTAAATTGAAAAAATATATAACAACATGGACCAAAGGTATGATTATATCAAAATATTTAATTTCTATTAACGGAAGTTAACTTAGGGTGACCATATCTTAATTAAATAAAAAAGAAAGTGACCATATCTTAATTAAATAAAATAAAAGCAAAACAAAAATGAATATATCTTATGTTTTTTTTAAAATCAATGACCAAAAGTAGACAAAACACAAAAATAAATTTCCATCCACGTAGTTAACACAAAAATTATTGAATATTAAATTTAAGAAAACCATAAATATTTAATTGGGTCAACGAGTCGACGGGTCAACTCAATCGGGTCGAGTATTTTTGAACAATCTTAGTGGCATGACATGTGATATCATTCGATGAAGGATTAAATTTATTTTAATTTATTAAGAGTATTACTAAATTAAGAGAATATGTAATAATAGGGATCAAATGTGTAATTATATCAAAAATATTTAACTGCGAAAGTTAACTCGGGGTGATCACATCTTAATTAAATAAAAAAATAACCATATCTTAATTAAATAAAAACAAAAGTGATCGTATTTTTTTTAAATCAGTGACCAAAAGTGGACAAAACACAAAGAACAAGTTACCATCTATGTAGTTAACCCATAAATTATTGAATATTAAATTTAAGAAAACCATAAATATTTTGCAAGCTAACACCAATGCCAACATCACCAGAAAAAATCACAATAACTTCCAAATCCAATACTCTTGAAAGGCCGAACAAATGTAAATAAACAGTGCTAAGAACCAGAATTATCAGAAAACTTGACTCGTTGGAGCTCTTTCAACTTCCCAAACTAAAAAGATTTAGCCGTGGAATTAATATTTCAATTGAATTTCCCTCTCTAAGAAAACTGTAGATAGGGTCATGTCCTGCTTTCAAGACACTGCATTGTGATAGTACAAATATTGCTGTAAAGAGCAGTGGCAACATCTCATTTGATCAGTCACAATATCTCTTCAATGAGAAGGTATGTATTAATCTTCAGTTTTTAGTTAAATTTATTTTATGATAAGAAATCCAATTTTCTTAACCAGAATTTCTTTGTGTTATGTTTTCTTTTCTCTTTTATGTTAATATATATTAAGTAATACATTGAAATGAATTATTCATGCACCCATGTAGGTGATATTTCCTGTGCTAGAGGAAGTGGTTATTTCATTCATGCACAACTTGGAAAAGCTATGGCCCATCCAACTTGTTCAGTATTCCTTTTTCAAATTAACTTCCTTTAGCTTGATGGATTGTCCTAAGCTATTGAACCTTTTTCCGTCGAGTATGTTGATGAGACTTCATGAGCTTAACCGACTGAAGATATTTGATTGTACATCACTGGAATATATAATATTTGATTCCCTACCCAAGAAAAAGGGAACAACAGTACTATGCAATTATTTTCTCCAAAATTCAGTTAATCGAATGTTATTTCATTTAAATTTCCATGCATGACATCCTTAACTCTTATAAGACTGCCAAATCTAAGGAGTATCTATCATAAAATGCTTATTATAAATTGGACTTCGTTGGAGAAGATGAGAGTTGATAGATGTTACAAAGTGGAGATATTGTTTGCTTCAGAAGAAACAAGTGGAAAGAGCAGTCAACAACCCCTGTTTTGGGTGAATCAGGTATATTCATCCTAATTCCTACACTATTTATTCCTTTTTATAATCTGTTATTAAAGTCCAAAACCCTACAAAACCACTAAAAGCCTCAAACCCTAAATCATCACAGAGAAGGAAAACCCCAAAGCAATACAATGCTTCAGAGTTGCAGTTCAGGAGAATTGAGCCGTGAAAGTTTCCCGCCTCACATATTGGTTTTGCCAAGTAAGTTTTCTCGCCTCCATTTTCCTTGCGTAGCTAGAGCTTTTTCTGGGTTTAATCACACCGACCGGAGATTTTCTGAAAACCCATTTTTCCTTGAACAAGGCCTGAGTACAAGCGTTAACTTATATTCCCAGAAGCAGAATTCAATAGAATCCAGGCTTTTCCTAGAGTTTAAGCTACAGTGTAACTCTAAAACCCTGTCTTCGCTTGCTAGAAGTTCTTCAAGTGGTGTTAAAAAGAATAGGTACGGAGGTGTTTTGCCTTCGATTCTTAGGTTTTTGGAGTCCGAAAATGATTTAGAGAAAACCCTTTCTTCGGCTTGTGAGAATTTGAATCCAAAAGAACAGACCGTGATTCTCAAAGAACAGAGTAATTGCGAGACGAGTTTTTCAAATCGTTGAAAGACTATGAGCCGAATGTAATTCATTATAATATCGTGCTTCGAGCACTGGGGAGGGCTCAAAAATGGGATGAGTTGAGGCTTTGTTGGATTGAAATGGCGAAAAATGGTGTCTTGCCGACGAACAATACTTATGGTATGCTTGTTGATGTTTATGGGAAGGCTGGTATGGTGAAAGAAGCACTTCTTTGGATGAAGCATATGAGACTTAGAGGACTTTACCCTGACGAAGTGACGATGAATACGGTTGTTAAGGTTTTGAAGGATGCTGGGGATTTTGATAGAGCAGATAGGTTTTATAAGGACTGGTGCACTGGGAGGGTGGAGTTGAATGATCTGGAGTTGGATTCGATGATTGATTTCGACGATGGGTCTGGTTCAGCCATTAGTTTTAAGCATTTTCTATCGACTGAGCTTTTCAGGACAGGTGGTAGGATTCCTGTTTCGGAAAGTTTAGGTTCATCAGATACAGAAAGTTCTATGAGAAAGCCACAGCTAACGTCAACATACAATACTCTGATTGATTTGTATGGAAAAGCTGGTCACCTCAAATATGCAGCTGATGTGTTCTCTGAAATGTTGAAATCCAGTGTCGCGATGGATACCATCACCTTTAACACGATGATCTTTACTTGTGGAAGTCATGGCCACTTTTCGGAGGCAGAATCCTTGCTTACTAAGATGGAAGAAAGGGGAATAGCTCCAGATACGAAGACTTATAACATCTTCTTGTCTTTATATGCCAGTGCTGGTAATATTGACGCAGCCCTCGAATATTATAGGAAAATCAGAAAAGTAGGTCTTTTCCCCGATATTGTAACTCACAGAGCTGTTCTTCATATATTGTGCAAGAGGAATATGGTTCAAGAAGTGGAGACTGTGATTGAAGAAATGGAGAAATCGGGTATTCACGTCGATGAGCAATCTCTTCCTGTTCTTATGAAAATGTATTTTGCCGAAGGGTTGCTTGACCAGGCGAAGACTCTTTTTGAAAAGTTTCTTTTGGGTTATGAACTTTCATCCAAGACAAGTGCAGCAATTATAGATGCTTATGCGGAAAGGGGGCTTTTGGCTGAAGCTGAGGCTGTATTTTATAAAAAAAGAGATTATCCGAGGCAGAAGAGAGGTGTTGTTGAGTATAATGTCATGATCAAAGCCTATGGCAAAGCGGAACTTTACAATAAAGCTTTTTCTCTCTTCAAGAGCATGAGGAATCACGGGATTTGGCCTGACGAATGCAGTTATAATTCCCTTATTCAAATGTTTTCTGGAGGTGATTTAGCCGATCATGCGAGAGACCTTTTAAGTGAAATGCGAGCAGCGGGATTAAAACCGAAGTGTCAAACCTTTTCCTCTCTTATTGCTTGCTATGCCCGTCTTGGCAAGCTTTCTGATGCCATTGATATGTACGAAGAAATGATCAGTGCAGGGGTGAAGTCCAATGAAGTTGTTTTTGGGTCCTTAATCAATGGATTTGCTGAGAGCGGTAGTGTTGAAGAAGCTCTTCGATACTATCGCATGATGGAAGAATCTGGAATACCAGCAAACAAGATAGTACTAACATCGCTGATTAAAGCTTATACCAAGGTCGGTTGTTTGGAAGGTGCACAGCGTGTGTATGAAAAGATTAAGGAACTGGATGGTGGTCCAGACAACGTTGCATCAAATAGTATTTTAAATCTTTATGCCGATCTCGGGATGGTATCTGAAGCCAGATGTGTTTTCGACAGTTTGAAAGAAAATGGAGGCGCGGATGGGTTTTCATTTGCAACGATGATGTATCTGTACAAAAGCATGGGTATGCTTGATGAAGCTATTGATGTTGCAGATGAGATGAAAGAATCTGGTTTGTTAAGGGACTGTTCTTCATACAATAAGGTAATTGCATGCTATGTTCGGAATGGTCAGTTACGTGGGTGTGGTGAATTGTTGAATGAGATGGTTAACCGAAAGATTTTACCCGACACCGGAACCTTTAACGTACTGGTCACTGCACTGAAGAAGGGAGGGATTCCAATCGATGCTGTAACCCAGCTAGAGTCGTCATACCTGGAAGGGAAACCTTATGCAAGACAAGCTATTATCATTACTGTTTTCTCTTTAGTAGGTTTACATGCTTATGCACTCGAATCTTGTGATGCCATCATAAAAGCCGAAATATGTCTCGAGTCTTTCGTGTACAATGCGATGATTTATGCTTATGTGTCATCGGGGCAGATTGACAAGGCATTGAACATATTCATGAAAATGAAGGATGAGAGCCTGGAGCCTGACGTTGTTACCTATATAAATCTTGTGAGTTGTTATGGGAAAGCTGGCATGCTTGAAGGTGTGAAGAGAATATACAGCCAACTAAAGTATGGAGAGATCGAGCCGAATGAATCCTTGTTTAAGGCTGTCATAGATGCTTACAGAGCAGCTAACAAGCCAGACCTAGTTGAATTAGTTAACCAAGAGATGAAATTTGCATTCGAAGGACGAGATAATTCGGAATCTGAGGTTGAAGATGAAAGTGAAGACATTACTCTTGACCTTTAGAATTATCCTGAGAGCCCGGGGCTGATTGAAAAAACACTGTATGTTGTCTAGATTCTTAGACTCTGCTTGGTATACAGGGAAAAGATGGAGTATAGAAAATTTGTTAATCAAATGGTTGATATTCGTAATCGCTAGCATCGGAGTAACAGATTTCCCGTACTCTTTTTCCGTCTTCATATGAAGAATAGTCTGAGAATCGAATCTCTGAAGACTATTGAAATGTATGGTAGAATAGAACTCTCTGATAAGGCATATACTGTAGAGGGAGCAATGTAAATGGTAGAATTTAGAAGCGATCGAAGAATGCACAATGTAGATACCGGCTTCAATCTATACCAAAATTATCATGTTCTTGTTAGTTGGACGTAGTCGGTTCATATGTGCAGATTGCAATATCATTTTGATTTGAACATAATGTAAAAGATAATAATTTAAACTTTAAAACACTAATTTTTCAAAATTGATTGATTACAACGATAAAATTTTATTCTATGGTACTTTTTGGACATTCTATTTCTTTAGAATAGTCTGAGTGATTACAAGATAGTATTAGGTAATTAACTATTGATAACGCATACACACCCCGTAAAAATAACTATTTGAATCGGAAATCTTTAGAAAAAACATCATTTTCTTTTACTACTAAGATCGTTTAATAGGTTTAAGCATTAATTGAGTCTTAGCATAATTATCGTCTCCTAAAGACCGCGAGTTTGAATGCATTTAAACATAATTAACTCTAATTTAAGAGACTAGTTTAAGTACTTAATAAAAAAAACAAAACAATGCAATAAACATCACAAGCTTCATCACATGAACAAAATGGCTTGAAATGCCAGAAAGATTGTTGAATTCCACGAACGCATAGTTCGTTATTTTCAAACTCATCAGACGAATTTAGTCTTTATATATAACCAGTCACATCCTATGACAACAAACTAGGTAGAACTGATCTCCAAGTTTACTCCATCGTCATAAACGAAACGGTGAACAGGAAAACCGAAGAATTTGCCAACAAAATGAAGCAAAAACATCCAAGGGCATGAACGTTCCGGACGCACATTATAACTCGAAATATCGTAAAAAATATAAAAATAAAATAAAAGCCCCAACCTCTTTAGTGTGTCGTTTCCACAGCATTCTGCAACAAAACATAAATGGTTATAATGAACGGCACACAATGGTAATAATACAACCAAGTCCATGTTAAGTAGAATCTGATTTTATACTTGGCCATTCCATCATGCTTTTAGAAAAGATCAAACAACCCCATTTTCAATTCCTTGTTAGATGCTTGTTGGTATGAAAAGAGGGAGCCGATATCTCTCCACGACACTCGCTGATTATTGAAAATGGTTCAGCATAGTGCAAGAGTAAAGATTTTGTTTGGTTCATTTTGTCAAACAATTTAAAAACTCATAAAGCATAAACAAATACACTTTTTGAGGTCATAGAATGGTTCAGTTTGTCAACTATATGTTGGATGCAAGTATTTTAGGGAAGTCACACATATATGCTCATTGCTTTATTGAACATGCAGTTGCATATTTTACAAACAAATAAAACCAAGAAAGTATGCATTAACCAAAATTCTATAACATGGTAAAAGCTTGTTCCATATGCAAATTATATAAAATTTGTTTTTCTTAATGTTGATATAAAATTAAAATTAAGAGAAATAAATTCGATCTAATGACAAGCAAAGTTCAGAGTATATGAAAGTACCTCTTCCTTCTCGCCTTTAGTGAAGAACTTGTATCCACTAAAGAAAAGAAGACCCCATCCAGTTAAAGAGACTATAACGAACTATACAACCGTACAAAAAATTGTCAATACAGTTTCGATTTCCCTAAATATGCTATCTCATCAAAATGCAGTACACTGGTTCAGAAAGACAAACAACGACGAAGTACGGTAGTTATGTTGCATGACGGCCTAACCTAAGGTTAATTTGCGGCGGATTTTAACTTAAAATGTTATATGGCTACTATAAAAAGTTACACATCTGAAAACAATTTCGGTTACAATTTTACGTGAGTTTCTTGACAGTAGCTTTTTAAGTTGCAACCAGAATAATTATTCAATTTACACGATTTGTGACGGAGAACATAATATTTTTTTCAACCTAAATCGTTACCCAGTTTAGTCTAAAGAGTTGGCTGCTTTTTTTTAGCCTTATATTAACCGATTGTTTCTATATAACAAAATATTAAGGGGAAGATATCAGATTGTATGCAGGAATAAGACAGCTACTCAACAAAATCTTAGCTCCAAATTAAAAAAAAAAATCCAATTCCCCAATCTGAAAATCAAAAAGAACCTTTGAGCTAGGTTATTTTAAAATGCATTTAAAGTAAACAAACTGACATGTTCTTTCCATTTAGCTGGATTCATTGGATCTTGCTAAAAATTAACCTTCAAAGGTCCATGGTGATCTGCAACAGAAAACTTCTAAGATCCTTTAGTTTCAAATTTCAACAACGATCTAAGATAAAACGAGATTACATCCGATTACAAAATATGAAATTTAAAATAGCAAATAAAAAGGGTAAATGGAGAATAGTAGAATACCTGCTGCGCCGGTAAGACCACGGCGAGGGATGAGAGAAGCGGCTCGAGGCGGAGCCGGTTTCCGAGCTAGAGCGGCTGCTCTACGAGCTGCAACTGCCGCCAAAGTAGCCATTTGTAGTTTTTTCTTTGAAGAGGAAGCGAGCGCAAGAGAATCGATGATGTTTTCCACAAGGGAAATGTGAAAGATGATTAAAATGATTTACAAAATGATTATTTAACTTTAGTCCATATGTTATAAAAATGAATATTATAATCCTTTTACTATGCTTAAAGTTTGTCTCCATTTATTACAAAAAAAGGAGACGTTCTAGTCGCCTTTATATTGAAAATTTCTAAAATATTTAAGTCATAATTAGGTGGTTTAAATATTTTTGATTTTTTTTTAAAACAATTAGTGAAAACTATGTATTTAGTACTTAAATTATCAGTTTTGATATGTTTTAATACTTAAACTTTCAATTTTTTTCGAAACCAAACTTAATGTTTAGTTTTTGTTTCATTTTAATACATGCTATTAAAATTTAAGGTAAAAGGGTACATGTCTCCCTTGAACTTAAAAAAAAAACAATGTGGCTGTCCACTTTTTTTTGCGCCCAATATGGCCCTCAAAGTAAAAAAAAACTCAATGTGGTCGTTTGACTAACGTTTTTTGTCGTTGACTAACGACTCCGTTATTTTGTGCTAACATGACACGTTAAACATACAAACATCCTATTTTTCTCTCAATTTGGCCTTCCAACTCAAGAAAATAACTCAATAAGGTCATTTTCTCTTCTATTTTGGTCACTAAATTTTAAAAGTTTTCAATTTAATCACTCAACTTTTGAATTGCTCTTGTTTTAGTCATCATGCTTTATTTTATTAATATTTATGTATGGTGTGACATTTATATATGATGTGGTATTTTTTCGTTTCAACCAAAGATTTCTTTTTTTCTTTTTTCCTTTCATTACCAGATTTAGTGAACCCATATTGAACTTGGAAAAAAATTAAAAAAAAATTGGGGATAAGGAAGAAAAAATGAAATGAGAGGATAAAGGAGGAGAGTGGGGATTTGGAAATATATAAAGGAGAGGGAATATTTTTTAATTTAATTATAATTTTAGGAATTTTTTTTGTTTTAATATAATTTTAAAATTTTAATTTAATTAAAATTATTTTAATCATATATTAATAAAATAAAAATAATAAATTTCACATTATATATAAATATTAATAAAATAAATCATGATGATTAAAATATGATTAATTCAAAAGTTGAGTGATTAAATTTGAAAATTTTTAAAGTTTAGTGACCAAAGTATAAGAGAAAAAATAGAAGGGTCAGATTGAGTTATTTTCTTGAGTTGGAGGGCCAGATTGAGAGGAAAAAAATAGGATGTTCGCCTATTTAACGTGTCACTTCAGCATAAAATAACGGAACCATTGGTCAACAATGAAAAACGTTGGTCAAATGACCACGTTGAATTTTTTTTACTTGAAGGGCCACATTGGGTGCAAAAAAGGTGGAGGGCCACATTGTTTTTTTTTTAAAAAGTTTGAGAGCTTCAGGTACCCATTTGCCAAAATTTAACATGTAACACCCCCAACCCGTATCCGACCCGAATACGAGTCCGAGATGTCACATGGACTTTTTGGAACAATATTCTTGTAAGATAACAAAACATTTGAACTTATAATAAGAAAATATAATAAAATACTATTAAATTATGCTTTATTATAAATATTTGAAAAAATACGTATTTACAAACAGTAATATACGGTATGAACAATACCGTGACCAGTACCATGAACAGAGAAAATTTTCGAATATAGATTGTGTATCGATGCACTGCAACAGTAACTTCGGTAAAATACTTATAAATTCATAAAAATCCAAGTTTTCGTTTGTATAAAATTACCATGTACATATACACATTTAAAACATTACAAAACTTATTAAAACATATCGAATTCAAATATTTATTTACATGCCAACCACTATCCTTATTACAAAATACATACTATACATTTCTTTTCTGATCTGATCGTTGGAAAGGAGAAACTGACCTGTCTTGCATAACTTTTACCAATCTTCCTCTTCTCGGAACCTACGCGTGAAACAATCACACGCTAAATCTTTGACTTAGTGAGGTATATAAAACATATAATAGAAATCATAGAACATTTCACATAACATAATGCATACCTGTATATATACCATCATTATCATAATCTCTATTTATCATATGATTTTGTACTTATCATTTTTGTATATCATATAATACACCTAACATCATGTAATTCCTATAATACATTTCATATCACCACAAGCATATACATCTCATATATGGTATTTGTTATTGTCTCTTTATTGATCCATTTTTACATGTCCCTAATTCTTTTTATCATATAAGCATATACTAAACATTTTTGTACACATCATGGTTCACATATATCCTTTCACAACATAACACACATAGTGTCATACCAATTAATTTATTTACTCTCTTTAAAGCCCTTGTATTAGCCCATGTATACTTTTGAGAACTTAAGGTATGTGAGTATATTGAGGTTGTGCACCACTATGCTGTCACCACAGCTCATATAAATGTCCCGAAGGACCTATCCAGAGGTCATAAAGAACCTCGACAACTGTCTATAGGTCCCGAAGAACCTAGGTAAACTTTCCATATGTTCTTTAGAACATAGGTATACTGTCCATATGTCCCGAAAGACATAGGTAATTTTGTCCATATGTTCCGTAGAACATAGGTAAACCCTCGACTCTTGGCATACCAACTATACATGTAGCTCTCATATCACATAACATGGGCATTATCATTTATAACATTTCATATCACTTGTTCTTTCTCTGCTGTCACATACCACATGTATGTGTAACCATATATTTCATATCATATCACATGTATCACGTATTGCATATTCATATGTCACATAGTTCATATCAATTTGCATGGAATCACGTAGGTTGTTTCATATGGCTTATATAATTTCTCATTTGTTTATATACATATGTCATATCTTATTCACATATGTTCATATATACATCACATAACACATAGAATAACATATAAACTTATAAATAAATCATTTCCATGTGATTTACTTATCTCATAACTTCATATAGTCACATATCACTTATCACATGGTTTATATCTTATGATCGTGTAATCATACCAAACATATTCACACATACATGTATTCACATAAATCACATATAGAAATGCACTTACTCCATAGACATATGCACGTATTCATTTTATTGCTTTTATGATCACATATAATAACATGTACCTATTTTCATGTACTCATGCACATATAAGAATTCCATCAATTATATAACATTTTAGGAGTTACTTCTTACCATAGTAACTCCGTCACTGGCTCATCACAAGCTAATATATGTTCAATAACATACATATAATTAAATTGAACTCACCTTAGCCTTGCTGAACTTGTTTAGGCTCAATATATTTACAAGCTTGGCTCTCTCTTTCTCTCGTACATGAAAAAGAAGAAGAAGATGAAGTGGAGAAAATATCTCCTCATCCTTATCCCCACATGCCTATATATCATTTTATTATCATTTCTAAGTCAAATGACCATTTTGCCCTTTAATTCTTTTAATAATTACTAATAACTTTCAGGAAATATCTCCACAAAAATCATTGAACTATTCAACTATTCTACTTTAATCACCAAATTATGAAATTTTACAATTTGGTCACTAACCTGTAGTTTGGGATGTTACAAATCTCCCCTCCTTTTAAGAAAATTCGTCCTCGAATTTTCATTGCACACATTGACAAGAACATATCTTCTAATGTTCTCATGTTGTTTCATTTATTTAATATTTCCTTCTTTTAGTTCTTCAACTAATTTTTTCCCTTTATTCATTCATCTACTGTCGCTTATCATATAAACAGTAACCAATAACCTCATTCATTTCTTTCTTTTCTCTTCTGTGATTCTGCATTTTCCTTTGATATTTCTAAAATTCATATAATGTTACTCATCACGTAGACAATAACATCCATTCTCATCACTCCATATCCTAAATCAATCTATTTCTTCATTAATCTCTAATTACTTATCACAATATCAAACTTTTATTCCATTATCATTTGACCAAAACACGACTTTAAATCTTCTTCAATTGTGATTAAACATATACTTTATGGAGTCAAACAATATTTTCACATCACCTTGCACACTTTTCGTATTTCTATATCGAATTTATCATTTACACTTCCATATAACATCTATCATACTTACCCCTTTAATTTCATTTTTCATTTAATTTCCTTATCCCTTTACTCATTCACAAATCAAAATCTTCTTGTAATATATATCATATCTTTTCTTCAGGCTCCCTTTAAAACCTGTAAATACTCTTCTCATTGCCTTCATCATATCTATATGATCCAAATACATAACCATATTCAAATCCATATCATACTTGATTAACTCACTTTATCTTTTTTTCCAATCTTATAACTCTATCACCTTTACTCTACGACTAGTCAATAACAACTGTTCAATCTAGGACACAAGCCCTAATTAACCAATCACATACATCCGACCTTTCATCATTTCTTAATCATTGTCTGTACTTTAATACACATGATCTTTTCATATTACTTTATACTTCTCTGTCAATCCTTACTTTCCCTCAAACATAAGAATCCCTATTTCCTTCAATATATCACATTCATATGATCAACACATTTTTTCATCATGTAATCTTGTTAACCGACGCTAACTCTTTCTTCTAGAGTACAAACTCTTATCATATCCACACTCTTTCTTATACACAGTACTACCCATTTGTTTAAAATTTATAACTATGATTTTATTCATCTTATAAACGTAACACTGATGCACTTATTCTCGAACTATTCTACAAACAATAACCATGTCATTTGATCTTTTAACATTCTTATGGTGACATTTGTCTACTATATTCTAGCTTGTCCACGTAGTCAAAAAGCTACTCAATTTAATTTCTCCACTTTGGAGAAATGAACACCTTCTAGCATTATCTTCATATCATTTATCCAAAGGTCTGTAACAACAAAACCTTTCTCAAATTTTACCCTTGAACTCGGGTGCTCTTAACCTTTTTAACTATTTCGATACATTCATTCTATGAGTTAACGAAGTATACAATTGAAA